TATGTTTTTCCATAGTGCCTGTGAGGAATTTTCTGACCCACTTATTCAAGACTGGTCGTTGCATTTCTCTCCACTGGAGAGGTTCGAATTTCAGTGGATTAGATGGAGCTTTTTCATCTCAAAACAAAAAAAAATGTAAATTTCGCCTGCAGTGAAGCTATAACACCATTCACAGGTATATTTCTTATAACATATAAGGGTATTAAAAGATATTTACTTTTATTTTGATCGTTCAGTTTGTATGGCAGCTATATGCTATATAAGTCTGTTCGGAAAAAGTTTGTACGGTTGGTTTGGATAATAATTCACTCCTCATTTCGTGAAGATATCTGGTCAGATACAAGAGCTTGATTTTGTTCGACCAGTTTGTATTGCAGCTAAATACTATAGCGATATCGGAAGTTCCGACAAATGAGCAGCTTGAAGCTGAATTGCCTCTTAAAAATATCAAGCGGTTTCTCTCAACTATGCGGAGTCAAATCCTTCTCGAAGTGAGCGTTGTCTCCCAACGATGTATTACAAGTAATCACAGGGATAAATCATTAAGTGTTGGCTCCTGAATGATGCGCTGAAGTCAATCCACAAACTATGACAAATCAGGAGAACTTACCTCAGTCTCGTGTAACCTTATCACAACTTCTATCTACTGCTCTAATAACTCTATCTGTATCTGCAAATTCTCTGGACGTATTTGTTAACTGTAGCTCTATGGCTCCATATTGTCGAAAGAGTGTTCATTTTCTGGCTTAACTTGCTCACTAAAAATGGTTTACGTAGCAACAGGAAACATCATCATAAATTAATGGTTTCAATAATTTCTGAGAACAGTCGAAGTTACTAATATTAGAAGTGCCAACTTGGAGTAAACGTGTAGTGTTAGAGCGCAAGAAGCGTTGTTAGTGTTGGTTCCAGTTAATTTCTGATAACATAATTACCGCTCTATAGGTCATGGTTGCAAAATATCGTCGGAGTAAATTTATGAATTTAAAGCAGTTCCAAGTCTCCGGCAACATGTTTGATATAAAAATCTTACTATAAACTCAAGCTCTCAACTTTACTGGAAAAAGACTTCGGTTCTTGAACAAACATAAGAATATGAATTTTGCTTCATAGTATCATTATGGAAATTATATTCAGATGGGTCCATCTGCATCTGCCTCCGACATCCCAATTTAAATGCTCGCGCTTAGAGAATTTGCTAAATATTACAGAGGCATAACAACGCTGGTACTCTCTCTCAATATTTCATTTCTGGTTTTTGGAGTGAGGCCCAGCTTCCGCTGTGACCTTCGGCAGATTCGCATGGTATAATAAATTCGTATACAGCCGTTTCTATCTTAACATTCGCATGTTGCAGTCGTTGGCATTCCGGTTTGTATTCATAATTTATAGCCTCAGCGATACACCCACTTGCAGCGGCTGATATTGGCGTGAGGCTGAAAATTTTCCAAACGGAAATGCACAGAAAAGCAAGCAAAATTATCTGTGAGAATATGTGGACGACGGTATGAGAGGGAGGGTACTTGTGTTCAAATGACTGATAAACAAATATTATATATGAATATCTTAAGGACATATGTGGATGTGTGCCACAATAATAGTACCTACATATGCACAGTTATGTGCATACTCGTAAATAACATCTTCAGTTGTTTACGTATCTTCTTCAATTTCGATTTACTTCGCCTCCTTATAATATTTTATGGCATTTCTGGCTTGCTGTTATTCTTCAATATCGCATTTTGCCGCCAATTGCTTGCAATATTTTCAACTTTTTACCTTATCATTTTTCTTGCTTTCATTTCGCCATATGTTGTATTGATAATGTAAATATTTAAATAAATTATAACAAGTTATGCTTGCGTGCATTACTGAAGGTAGTGGCTTTTTCATGTCAAGGAGGCTACCAGCTGATAGCACTATTTCTGGTTCGAAAATTGAGTAAATGAAGTCGTTCCAGGCTTTGGCTTAACCCTGATATAAATTTTTTTTCTATTTTACTGTCGAACATCTAAGTTAGTGAATGAGATATTTTAGGAGCATTAAGTAGACATATTCTCATATACTTAGTGTGGCTTGGTGCTAAAATTTGGAGAAATCGTTCAATATGTTCCTCTAAGATCCATATAGTGAATCCAGTATAATCATTTTCGTTCTTCGATTTCTAAATTGCGTTTCAAAATGTTGCTTTACTTTTCAAAGCTTTTAGCGATACGAACTTTCAAGCTGAAAAAAATGTTACTGGGGTAAGTTTTTGAGGATGTTTTAAGCTTTAAAAAATTCGCTACAAAAAACTTTCTCGTTGCAAATGTTATTATATTTTTCAAACAATTTTCTTACAATTTATATGGAAAACTTTGTAGCACCCAAAAGGAAACGTCGTGGAATCCAAAAAGTGTATATAAAACGATCAGTGTGACCAGTCAACTTAAGCATATCCATCTGTATATACATGAGCTAATTTCTCACTTTTTGAGATAACGATCTGAAATTTTTCTTTCCTTACCAAGAAACTACTCAAGTATTGGCAGAAAAACTTTATTATTTGAAAAGGTATCGTCACGAAATTTGGCACGGATTATAAATTAAAACAATGCTACATTGTCAAAAGAAATTGTTCAATTCGGTCAAGTTCGGTCGGTTGATTATGAAAAAAAATTCGATTAAACTAAAGACCCTGTATGGAAGACTTTTTTATTTGACAAGGCATCGTCATGAAAATTGGCACGAATTATTATCTAAAATAGCGGTATAATCTCCATAGAAACTGTTCGGATCGGACCACTATAGCATATAGCTGGCATATAAATTGACCCATCAAAATCAATATTATGGTCTTTCTATACCTTTTTATGTTATAAAGAAAAGCAGCTGTGAAAGGTGTTAGAGCTTCTCTGCAGCTGAAGTTAACGTTTTTTCTTGTTTTCTCTCCGTTAAAATCATACTCGATAGTTTAGTTTTGGCTCACCCTAATGTATACTTTTGAGCATATTTAAGAGTTTCAGGAGCTCATTCCATATACAATTTTATGAAATTAAGTATTGTATGTATTTGTCTATATAATTAGGTCAAAAGCGTTGCGTTTGTGGCTGTAAATCCGTTGCAAGCAAGCATTTAACATTGGCGTCTACTTTCCAAACACTTGTGTCACTTATGACATACATTCATATACACGCACACTTTTAATACCAAGTTTTAGGTATTTTAATAAAAATCTCATTTTTTTGTAAGTGATCTGACCCAATTCTTTACTATTAACTTTTGTTTCACTTATTCTCCTTTGTGCGTATCTTCGCACGTATTAATCAAGTTGGCGTGGTCATAGAAACAAATTTTTCACTTTTCCTTATTTGTTTTTTGCTTTATCGGCTTTTTACTGCTTCATTGCCACAAAATTTAAAAAAATACTTTCTCCAATGTGCCACATTCAGCGTTTAGCTCGTTAAGTGTGTGCGCCTGCTGGTATGCTTCGGCTTATTTACTCATTGCTATTGTCTTTAGCGCGCATTGTTTGCGCCATATTTTTTTGCACTTTCTGCCTGCTATTTCTCTTCTTTCTTCACCTATTTGTAGGCACATATAACTTTTGCCACAATAGCATCTCGCTCGCTACGCATATCTGTTTGCTGTTATCTGCTTCGCTTACCGCAAACAACAGTTTCTTGCGTGCTTTATCTTCATTTGGTGGGATTTATTTTGTGTACAATTTTTCCGCCTGCCAATCCGTCATCTTTTAGCGCGCATTTTTATCTTTTCTAGTACATCGTTTGCTGGCTTGTTGTTGCGTATTTGAGTGTGTGCCCGCTGCGTACACTTGACTGCGGCTATGATGCAATTAAAATATTAAATAGCGTGAGTTTTTAATGCTAGACACTTCAGCCACTTTCAAACTGCTGATACTTGCATGAGAATTTCTTGTTTTTCTTTTTTTGTTTGCTTTGGCTTTGCAGTTTATCTTCCCCCCAGTTTGTGCTCAATAATTTATTTTTCCGATTTTTCTCCTTTTCTATTATTCCCCGTCATTATCTCTTTATGGCTATTGAGCTTCGGCTTGTTTTTGTTGTTGTAGTCCTTAACGCAAGCTCTTACGCAGATTTTTAAGTACTTTTCACATTGTTTATTACTTGTATTATGGTTGAAGCGTACCAGCTGGCTACATGGCTGATAAGGCGCCTTAAAGTAGACTTTACTTAAGTGATTTTCATTTATATACGCGTCGAGCGCGCTGGAAAACTTAATGGCTATGTGTGTCATAATTAATAACAATCTTTTTGTTAACGTAAAAAAATTGGAAATATTCTGAAGAAAATTATGGCATTTTATTAGGAACAGCATCAACCCCAAAAATTTTGTTGGAAAGGCTTTTTAAAATTATTTGTAAATATATATACTTTATACTCTATGCTCAATGCTCTCTACTCCATGCTCTATAATTTATACTTTATACTCTAAACTCAATACTCAATACTCAATACTCTATACTCAATACTCAATACTCTATACTCTATACTTTATACTCCATACTCTATACTTTATTCTTTATACACTCTATACTCTCTATACTTTATACTCTATACTCTATACTTTATACTCTATACTTTATACTCTATGTTCTATATTCTAAACTCTATATCTATCTCTATATTCTATACTCTATATCTATACTCTGTACTCTATACTCTGTACTCTATACTTTATAATCCATACTCCATACTCTATACTTAAAACTCTATACTGTATACCTTATACTCCATACACTATACTCTATACTCTGTACTCTGTACTCTATAATATATATTTTATACCCTGTACTCTATATTAAAGCCAGTTATTATACAGTTACCATTTATTCAACTCGTCTTTGGTTTACAAAAATTTGGCTTTCGTTAGGAAACCAACTAGGAAAAAAATTTTCGTTGTTCGAAATTTGTTTAAAAAATATGTTTCCCCCCTGTTAGCTAAGTTTTGTTTTAGTAATGGAGAATTTAAATTATTTTTACCTTTTTACTAGAGTGCTGATAGTATTTTCGCGGATGCAATGCGCACATATACCGATCGACTGCCATGCAGACCAATATTACGGCACTTTGTTGCGAGAGTGCACCGCGGAGCAGAGCCTGAAAGTAAAGATAATGCATTCAATATATATTTGTATCAATCTGGAGATATATGTACTTATATCGGATAAAACATATTAAACAGTAGATATTGTAGGTGTGAAACGGTGTATAAATAAATATAATAATATAGAATGATTATGGTTTACATGGGTTGATAGATACAACATTTTTCTATACTCAAACCGTAAGTAGAGATAATCACCGAGATTACAGTCTATTTTGAAGCAAAACTTAAATCGCAACAATAAAATAATAACGAAAGTTTTGTTGTATTGTCCTCGGTGGTAACTGTGTTGAATAATCGATACTTTTTTAAAGCGCAACGAACTTTTTAGTTTGTCTGGTGTCTTCTTTATTTCTGTTTATTGTTGACTTAACTCCAGCAACCGACTGATTCTTATTTACTGAAAGAGTACCCTGCAACAAAAATGTCACACATTTCTTTTAAAATTAAATTTTGACTTGAAAATAAAGTTAAGCTAAAAGTCAGATCGAAAATCGAAAAAAGTCGAGTAGGTTAGGCAGTGACAAAATCGATATTTTTATTTCAAAAATTGTTAGTAAACCTTTTGAAAAACATGTTCCTAAAATTTTTATGGAAAATTCTGACTCGGAAATAAAGTTAGACGTTAAAAAGCATTGACAAAAATCGATATCATACTTATATATAATGTAAATAGAGTTAAATGGTTGAAATATCGATACAAATAAAAAATTTGATTTTTTTTTATAAATGGGTTTTAAGTTTTTTTTCCCCCGAAATTGCATTTCAATATTTCGCATTGGAAAATAAGACGAAACAGTTAAAAAATCGATATTTTATGTCATAAAAAAGAATCGAAAAGTAATCGATTTTTTATTTAATAAATTATTAGTAGGACTATAGAAAAATATTTTTACAAAATTTGTGTTGCAATTTTCTGACTCGAAAATAAAGCGGAAAAAGGGATCTTAAATTGACAAAAATCAATACTTAATTTCATAAATAAGGGAGAAATAGGATGAGATGGTGAAAAAACATTAAAATTAGATTTTTTGTTCTGTAAATTGTTGTAAAATTATTGAAAAATATTTTTCCAACTTTTATTTGACTATTCCAAATCGTTCTATAAGTCATCACAGTGAATGTAGAAAATCAAGTTTTTTTTTGTTTTGAACCTTGTTACAATAAAATGTTAAGTTTTTTTTATAGCATTTAGGTTCACAGAATAGAGGGATATACAAAAAAGTTCCACTTGTTGGATTTCAGTTGAAAATTGCGGCTTTCAGAAAGCATGCTAGAGACTGAGTGCGATCTGCATCATGGGGTCACTAATATCTTTAGTGTTTTTCATCGAAATTCTTCAAATATTTCATAGAGTGTGTGTGTATATCTGATTTTCAAATTTTTAATAATTATATAAATTTGGTATACAAAACAATACAAAATTCAAGGAAATCAGTGAGAAAACACTGTCTCATTGTAATTACCCAACTCCCTTAAGTATGGCATTTTAAAATATTTAAATATCGTTGCTAGACACACTCACAAATACATATTTACTTAGTTTCATACAAATGTTTATTTACCGCGTGTAAATTTGCATAATTCTCTGCTAGTGGGAAGCTGAAATTCCACAAGTGCTTGCTTTGTTTACATAGCGAAGTTAAATTTGGCGCAAGATTACAGCTGCAATTAATATATGTATGTTTGTTTAAGTGTGTGCTTTTGAAAATGAAACTCTTCGACTTCAATTATTAGCATATAACTACTATTGCAGGCGCAAACACACACCCATACGCCTGCAACAGCATACCTTGCCTTTGTGACCGGTTGTGTAAGGTTGCGCCCACTTTGTTGAATTAATAGTTGCAAGCACAAAAGTAGCAAGTAATTATAGCTTTAAGATGAGTGCAAATTTGGTGATTAATTAGTTTGAAATTATGTTTGCGAAATGCTGGGGAATATGCTTACACAAAAGCAAATAATATTGTGATTACTTATACGCCGTATGTGCCCCAAAGCGGCACGCACATTTAATTGTGTTAATTTGCCTAAACATGTTATTTAGTTATACACTGTATAATAGCGTCAAAATTAATTTAGCAGTGAAGTAATCTTAATTACTCTGAGTCTCATTATGCATAGTAATTGGGACATCCAAATATTTATACATATCTAGCTCTCATGAGCAATACTTTAAACAAAAAATGGCATGAATTTAGAAAAATTTAAGAAATTTGTTGACCGAGGTCCACCCTGTAATACATATATACCTTAAAAACCATTCGGGTACACATTTTTCTCGTATCTCTTCATACAGTGTGTAAATGGGTTAACCGTATAATAACTTACTTATAGTAGGGTGTATAACGTTCATGTTGAAAAATATTAAAATTATAAAGAAAAAAAAATACCAACAACAGTAGTAATCAATTGTATATAATAGATGTTACAAAAGGACTGCATAGAAATCAGTGAAAAAACGCACTTTTTGGGCGTGGTATCGCCCACTTTTAGGTGAAATCTTATACTACAGGAACTATTAAAACAATTTCAACTGAATTCGCTGCATACGATTATTTGGCTATCTTTAAAAATGAAAGAGGGCAAAATCAAAATACAACCACGCCTAATTCTCACAAAACACTGTTTTATATTCCTTATTTTTCACTTTAAATTATATGTCTACATCAAATACCAGTTAATATATCAGAATATACCTTGGCAAATAGTGTTTTTAAAATGTTGTGTCTCCCAACTAAAAATTGTCGACATCGAAACTTAACTTTTAAAACCCCCTAAATACCGAATATGAGGTTCTCGGTATAAATAATATATAAATATATATTAGTTTGTGAGGTATATTATCGTGGACGCTTGTGTCGAAAATGTATAAAATTGGTTCAAAACTCCCCCTTGATGTGGGGGATACCTAGTATTAGAATTTTTAAACTTCCAGCTGACTATGTGCGTCATAGTCGAAGATCCTGGAAAATATATAGCTGCCATACAAACTGAACGATCAAAATCCAGTGCTTGTATAGAAAACTTCTTCATTTGACGAGGTATCTTCAAGAAATTTGGCATGGATTATCGTGTAAGACAATGGAGTAATCTTTCAAGAAATTGTCTAAATTGCATCACTATAGCATGCATTTAGTGGTATTGAGATTGCTGCTTGAGTGATTTTCAATGATTATGTGAGCTCTTCTTTGCTTGGCAATAACATTCATAGAGTAATGTTTTCAGCTCCTCATCTTTAAACGAATACAGTGATAGACCCAATACTACAAACAATGATTTTTCTTATATTGCAAATTGCGAAAGTATAAAGTGTGTGTGACGTCCAAAGTAAGTTTTTTTTAGCCATTGAAAAACATATACATTTTACTCGTTCAAAATGCTCTTCACCAAACCTACTTCCATTGAAAATTGTAGATCAACAAAATAACTCTAATATACTCTACTAAATTCGCAGAATCTTGAAAAGTTTAATTTTTAATTCTATATACATTTATATGTACTCTTTATATGTACTATGTCTAAAAAAATAAATTATATCTCGTTTATTGCATCAGCTTCAAAAAAATCAATAAAATGGTATTCGATCATTTATTATGTGTAGCAAAATTTATTACTCGCAGTGGCAACGCACGCAAGCAGCTAAATTTTAACAAAACCAACTTGCTCGCACAACGCCTTACTGAAAAACTAACACAACAACAACAAAATAACTGCTTATTTCCACTTAACTCCCACTTAATCGATTACACAGATTTCTTAGACAGGAAAAATAAAGAAAAAGATAAAAAAAGTCAAAACTATTAAAGCCAGCTCGTCGCCTCGTTGCTTATGCTTCTCCAGGAATTTCGAGCAATTTGGCAACTGTGCAAATTCGTGGCGAAAGTGAAAAACTATTTTCGCATAGCGTTGCACTTTTCGAATTTCACTGATGCACCAACACACACACACACATAAACGCATGAGCGCTACTTGGCCACTATCAATGCTTGGCCGACACACAACGCACGTTATTTGTACCGTTATTTGTATGTATTTTGTTTCGCATTATCAGCCACTTAAGTCGCCTAGAAGTTTTCTTGCATTTCATTGTTGTTGTTATTAATATATATATAGTTGTTGCTGCTGCTACCGCCGCATTGTCCACTCTACTTAGAAATATATGTGCTACACGTGTAGCAAAATCTAACAACAACAACATAACACATAAATGAATAAATATCTCTTGTTGCCTGTGTTCGTGTTGTTGTATCTGTGGTGTGCGTCTTTAGTTCAATTTTTCAACATCTATCTACTTGTGCTTCTTCTTCTCCTACTACTACGTTTGCTTCTACCGAATTTTATGTCGCTCATACGCCAACGCTTACCTGTATTTGGCAAAATATCTCGCCGTACGGCCAACAATGAAAGAGCGCTGGCAACAGTCCAAACGGTGTGATAAGCAGTCCAATGGTGAGGTCATTTAAAGCCAGAGAGGTGAGCAGATAACGCGGCTGCAAGTGGAAAAGAACAGAGGACAGAAAAAGTTAGTAAGCACGTACTTATGTATATATGTATGTATATATTTATGGCTGTATGTGTGTATTGAAAATGTATCTAACAGTAAGCGACAGCACAATGTTAGTAAATGAGAAAATCGTTTAATGAAAATTTTCGTTTGCAGTAGATTTAGTAGCAGCAAGATAGTTGTTGTTGTAATGAAATTTAAAGGCAAAATATAATAATAAAATAAGAAAAAACGTTAACTTCGACTGCAGCGAAGCTTTAACACGCTTCACATAAAAGGGTATTAAAAGAGTTTTACCTTGATGTTTATCAGCCAATTTGTATGGCAGGTATATACTATAGTGGTCCGATCTGAATGATATATTCGAAGATTGTAGCGATGTCTAAAATAATAATCTACGCCAATGTGTGAAAAATTTCAGTTTGACATCGCAAAAATTGAGAGACTAGTTCGCGTATATACAGTGAGACGGACAGATAGACGGACACTCTAAATCTAATCAGATCCTTACGCTGATCATTTATATATACACTTTATAGGATCTTTAATAGTTCCTGCTGGTTGTTGCTAACTTCATGGAAAACTTAATATACCCTGTTCAGTTTATAAAAAAGTCCATAACTGGTCTTCAGGTGGTTGAAAATAAAATAATAAAAAATAATGAAAATTTGTAAGTTATTGTCTATATAAATATGATATTGAAATTTATCAAAATGGCACACTTTTATAAAAGAGTCGAATTTTGGTCAGAAATTGTGATGATTTGTGGATAATATTAGTGACTGATATGGCAGTTTACCTAGTCGAGTCTCTAAATAAAAAATAAAACTTTTTAAAATTCTATTGGTCAGAATTCTATTGGCTGGATTCTATTAGCCAGAATTACGAGTTCTTTCTGCCATCATGGAAAGTTTAATTCTGATTCTTGGTCGAAAAGTATTAACATTTTTTTGCAATGAGAAAAGTGAAAAAATCATTGTTTGAATTTGAAACATTTTTTATGTAAGCCGTGTTGCAACGAGCCATTAGTCGTTATCGATTCGTCATTTTTCAGCTCATTAAATTTGAGTGCAACTCTCGTAACACGAAAATTGTAAATTAAAGCAATAGCAAAATAAGCAAGTTGAACTCGATAGAAGAGAGTAGGCGAATATCTTATTAAAGTGGTATAATTATTTTTGCCAATGCTACCAAGTTTTTGTTTATAGATTTTAGACCAATTTTCAATGACAAAAAAGATAAATAAAATTTAATAAAAAACACAAATTTTCAATGATAAATAACCCAAATAAGATTGTATAACAAAGATTCAGATTTTAAAACGTCACTCGGCTTGTATACAAACATTTTTTGATTTTAGTAAATAAAGACTCAGTTTAAGGTATTGTTTTTTCTGAAAACGTAAAACATGTGTGGACGTTGCTTTTTCAGTGCTGCCAGTCTAGTTGAACAACTGGTATAACGTATTCGATACACTACTCTCTAAGGCTTAAAAAATCAAAGCTAGCTACTACCTATATACTTCGAGATTACGGTTTGCTGTAATAACTGCCCATAAGACTAAAACACTTTCTGTTTTTTAATTTTGGCTTTTTTTTTGGCTTTCTTGAAAGTTCACAGAGGACTTGAGCAATTCCAAAAAGAACTTGGCAATATTTATTTACCGTACTGTTATAAAGAATAATATGACGGCATCATTTTAGCATTAACGCTTGGTTACCTCGATCACCTTCACTTCTTAAATGTCTCTCATAACTCAGCAAATTGAAGGTTTAAATAGATTACACTATGATTTATAGACAAATTCTATTCTTCTCATTTTTAACAACAGAAATCTCAACTAACTAACCGTAAATCTCCGACTCTCACTTGTCATAATTTTATCTTATTTTAAACAATACCGCCCATCCACTCAATCGCAACTGCCTGATTGCTACTATTTGCTGTGCGACTACTCCCAACTTATCCACCACACTCACCTGCTGATGTATATAGGGCGAATAGCGACGATTGTTTATTACAAATATGACCAGCGCATTGGCACCAATCACGCCCAGCGTCAATATGAGTATGAGCACCGCCTCGATAGTCTCCGCAATGCCGATGTGTGCAATGAAATTGTGGCTGGTATAACGTGGATGGGAGCAGCTTGAGTTCTTAACAGTTGGCGGCACGAGTAGTCCACCGGCTTTTAGGTCCATTGCAGTGCTGGCGAAAGGAAGTGAGAAAAGAGCAGAATAGAAACGAGTGTCAGTGAAATAGTGGAGAGTAGATAAATAAAAAAATTTGTTGCAGTAAGCAATAAAGTTCAAGTAATATTCCATATATTTACGTGTATTGTTGTAATAGATATATTTGCCGGATGTTAGTTTTAGCATATAAATCAATAACACAAGTGGTACATTGGCCGCGAGTACTTGTGTGTGTTATGGGAAATAAAAAAATATATATGTGTAAGCAAAAAATAAGATGATATATGGGATTTTTGTTGATTAAAATGAGAGCATTGTCTCGTTGACTTAACGAATGGATGACGTTTGAATTGTGTTATTATTGAATGGTGTTCAATTCTTAAATAAAAATATTACAGTCAGTCCACTTACTCGGCCGTTTTATTTTTAATGGCGCCTTAAAAACTTTTCATCCGTTGATTGTGGTGTTGGACATAAATCTATACTAAATTTCGTGAAGATATATGAAATAAAAAAGTTTTTGACCCAAGAACTGTATTTTGATTGGTTAGTTTTTACGGCAGCTATATGCTATAGTGGCGTTATATCGGCGGTTTTGACTAACCTTGAGGAGAAATGGACGTGTGCGAAATCTTAGAGCGATATCTCAAAAACTGAGAGACTAGTTCGTGAATATACAGACGGACCTAGCTTAATGGACTCACATCCTCACGTGATTAATGTATATATTTTATAGGGTGCAGTGTGTCAAAACATGTATTTTCCGATCCTAAAAGCTCTTGAAAATTGTTCTCAGGTGTCGACAAAGCATTTTGTACCCATCACAAAGCTACTTGTATTATTGCACTGATTTCGATAGTACATCTAGTGGAAAATAGGCATGAGATCTAAGTTGTTTTGACTTAAGCTTACCAAAGACCTCGTCTATTTCCAGAAAACTTTTAAAATTAAAAATTATTTTATGTCTCATGCTAGTCCATATTTATATTTTATGAAAAGCTTGAATACAACTACCACGAAAGAACTTTTAGTTTTTATATTGTCCCGAAACCATAGCGAGGTGGATAGACTCTAACTTTGACTCGGCAAAATATTCGATAGAAGCTCACAGGCGCTTCTGCTTAAAACAAGATGTTTCAGTGAAATTTTGGATATGCTTTGGCTGAGTAAGCATATGGTTACCAAAAAAATATCTAGACTTTAATTATACTTTACTATAGGTGTTTTTATCCAAATGCTGTTCAGCTTAGAAAACTAAGAGAGTGAGCCGCCCATACCAAACTTTTCGGTCTCTGGGTCTTTAGCGTTTATTCAGTTAGAGAGATTATTGCTGAATGAAATATTAATTATCAAGTAAAACTCTAAGTGTTTTGTTTTGTCTCACCGATTGAGAGATCCAGAAAACGTTAACTGTTTCAACCGATTCGTGCAGTAGGTAGGTATATCCTTCAGGATCCCAGGTTATACCACAAAACGATACATATTTTATCTAAATCGCAACATTTTAACCATACTAAATAAAACCAACGATCTAATATAAATAATAATAAATTTATTTTTACTAGACCTTATATAAAATAGAAATGAAGCAAAAGCTGCTTAGCCACTTGCCAACTTAGTTGCATAAAATGTGCCGTCGCCAAGCAGCCTTTTGCGTCCATCTCTGTTTTAATTTATATGCAATCGCAAAAAAATTTCAGTCGCCAAGTTGTAGCCTTGTTTATGCATTTTTTACTTCTTATAAAGATTACCACATAATTTTTTACCATTGTTATTCATTTTTGGTTTTAACTTGCAACTCTGTAGCATTGTTTTGTTTTTGTAATTATTTATTTGTCTTATTTATGACATTTATGTACGAATTGTTTATTGTTATGGTTTAGTTATAAATAAATGCTTTGAGACATTTTCTAATATTCAGCCACAAAAATGCATAAAATGCAATTTTCAGTTTTTGGCTCCGTAGCCAAAGGATTATAAATCTGTCACCAAAAGCTCCATGGGCTGCACAATTTAAGTCATGAAGTTTGCAGATAGAAAAATTTTGTATAAAAAGGAAATAAGTAAGTAAATGTACGGTAAATACAAAATGGATTTTGAGATTAAAAAATATGCAAAAAATTTTAAAGTTCTTATAAGCGTTGAAAGTTTATTTTTATATAGAATTTTATTTATAATATTTCATCGAAATTGCAAAGAAAAAGATTTTCATATTAAAAGTTTATTTGAAAATCTTTAATGTTACGGAAAATCCTACTTTGTTGGCAGGCGACTGTATTCGCCAATCAAATTAATTTTCTTCCCAGAAATTTCAAGAAGTGAGAACTTCTGCACTCTCGTAGACTCTCTTTAAGCTGAGTTTAGAAAGTACAAGAGATAAACGAGAGGTTAATTAAGCAGAATACTATCTCTGAGACATCAAACCGGTACAAAGAATATAACTAAACGCTTTGATTGTGGGCTGAATTGAACTAACTTGTCTTTTTCAACTTAAATGTATTGAGACTGATGTTGTATTTCAATATCGAGAAATAATCAGAATGTCGAGAAGAATTGATATTTATATTATGTGGAAGCGAGCAGTTGACCAAACTTTTCATTCCGCGAAGTTAGATATACACATATACTGGCACACCAAATAAGATCAATTCCTCCCTAACGTAACTCTTTCACCATTTCATGTTCTAGTGAGAAAAATCTGGTAATAGAACTTCCAGACCTTACATGCCAGACAAACTTGGCTTACAATTATACCCAATCTTAGAGGAAGTACATTTTACTGCCATGAGGTTTTTTGCTATGCAATAGGTAGATGTCTCTGCTATCAACAGTGAGCCAAACCCATCCAAGCCCGGTCAATATGCCGCTAACTCCTACATTTTAAATATGTGGATTTTCTTCCGTCTATCTTAATAAAATATTGAAGTATAATGGTTGGTATATGTCTCTGCTGTCAATAGTGATCCAAAACGATCCAAGAACGGTCAATCTGCCTGCTTACGGTTATGTCGATTTTACGCCGTCCGTCAACATACTATATAAGGTTGAAAGCGAATGAATGATATAAGTACAAACGGTTCTCTGGCCCTTATACATATGTCACATATATTTATTTTATTTTCTTGAGAGAATTTCTTAAATAAAATTGTGCACCAAAATTAGATAAAATCGGTATAAATTTAGATTGAACTGTTTTTTTTCGGCCAGAACCTCATTCCTTCTTCTATCACTCATGTACCAAAATTATTAATATTTCAAAAGTGTCTTAATTTTAGAGTTTGGAATTCGGGTTTTAAGAAGATATAATAATGAAACTAGTTACTAAAACACTTGAGGATATCTCACACGCCAGTGATGCTTACAATCAGCTTTACTAATTCGATACTCCAACGATTTACATAGAAGTCGTTCGGAAATATATAGACAAACAAAATTCAATTAAAATCCCAAACCGAGAGCTACGTTCATTCCATGCGGACCATAAAAAAACTAAATTAGAAATACTTTGGAATATGGAAGCTCATAACCGCACCTTTAACTTTTCGTGTGGATAAAAACTTAGTAAGTGTATCCGTTGTTCTTAAATGTGCACCTCAAGCTTTTACATTCTTAAATCGATTTACTTCAAGCAATTCTTGCATGCCTTTTTTGCGGCCGTCTTTTGTGCTCCAAATCTCGCCAATCTGCTACTCAATGCAAATAAAGATATTATGTAAAACGGTGAAATTAAAGCAATAAGAAATGAAAGCATATCAAATTTAATGCAAATGCGCACAAAAATCTCAGTGACGGATTACGAAATGTTGCAACATGGCACGAGTACGCCAGCCAAGAAAACGAGGGCGGCAAGCAAGTTGAAGACGTCAGCTTCATTATCGCCACAGCTGCGACTTAGCCAGTCGGTCGCCACGCGGTGGACTGAATTGTACAGGCTTTTGATAAGACAGTCGTTGCTATTAATTTGCATGAAAGGATAAATTGATGTGCTGCATAGTGATAAGCGCGAAGGCAGCAAGCCGAGAATAAAGTGAATCAGCTAATGGCGAGTGCGATGCGATGCGTTGAGAAACAGTCGTAAAAGTTAAAGTTGTAGTAGCGCAAATTTGTTACACTGATTAAAAGCCGAGTGAAGGAAGAGATGAAAAAGAAAACGACAGACATGATAGCGAAAAAAAATCGTGCTGTCGGTGATTTGAAAAAGAAAGCACAAATAACTGTATAAAACTGTGACTGCAAAAAAAAACTTAGATAAAGTTATGAGAACTTCGAAAAAGAAAATAAATGGAATTAATAATATTGCTAAGGAGTTGGTAATAACGGTTATCAATATCTGTTGCCTTTAAGCTTAGTAGAGTAGTAAGCGACAGGAGGAGTAAGCGACGATATATTTTTATTTTTATTCGGTATATTTGGTAGCTCTTTTTATAGTTTTGAAATTTTTAAGCTCGAGTTCTCATACCATCAGGCAAAGTTTAAGAAAACTTGTCTGTATCCAGATAAGTTCACAAGACAGAAATATGTTCTAGCTTGGCTTGAATGACGCGACTCCGCGATAGTTAAAACCATAAATCTGTAAATAGTTTTCGATAGTCCTTAACACCCGAAAGCATTTGGTAAAACTTTGACTGGCAAAAAGTATTGAGTGTGAAATCGAGAAAATAAATCTTTCAATAGCCATTACAACAGCAATTTTTGGAGAAACCGTGAGTTATATTTTGGTCTTGCTTGATCGCTAATCCTCGAAGATTTACAATTTTATTACCAATAAGTGAGAAGTCGCTACGGCTACATGGTCAGAAGTAGATTATAACTGGCAAATAGTTTCCTACATTGTCCTTATTGCCCGAAAGCTTTTATGATGCTATCGATCCTACCCAATATATATCCAATATAGTTAAATAAAGTTGTAGAACACATTAAGTTTCAGTCTTTGGAATCCAAATACCAGTATATATAATATATCTTTCAGTGAAACTGTATGTAATGTATTGGCGCCACGATCTGTGTGTGTTCCAC